AAGGTTCACAAAACACCTGACAAATGTAGTCCAGAGGGCGGAAGAAAGAACGGCAGCCTTACAAAGGATCATGCCGAATATAGGAGGCCCAGGCAGCCAAAAACGTAGAATGTATCTGCAAGTGGTACAGTCGACCCTCCTATATGGAACCCCCATTTGGGCTGATGTACTAAATTATAAAAAATATAGAGACATGATAACCAGAGCCCAGCGAAAGCCCCTACTAAAAGTGACCAGTGCGTACCGGACTACTTCAACGACGGCCCTACAGGTGATAGCGGGTACGTTCCCCATTCACCTCCTAGCGAAAGAACGGCAGATGCTCTATAACTCTCGAGACGGACACCTACCTCAGGTGAGAGCCGCTATCAGAGAGCAATTACTAATAGAATGGCAAGCAGAATGGGAGGCACAGACAGACAAGGCACAATGGACCAAAAAACTAATACCCAACGTGATAGAGTGGTATAAATGTAAGTTCAAACGAGTAAATTTTTATTTTACGCAGTTCCTGACCGGACATGGATCTTTCAGGTCTTACACGTATCGTATTCGAAAAACCAGCGACGACAGTTGTATAACGTGCAACATAGAAGATGACGCGGAGCATTGCATCTTTAGATGTAATGTGTTTGCGTCGGAACAACACAGAATGCGGGCAAAGCTAGGAGTGATATCCCCTGACAACTTGATACGTGTCGCTATGGAAAGCAGAGAGAACTTTGAATTCCTCATAGACCAAGTAACCAAAATTATGAAAAGAAAGTCTATGATAGAGAAAGAAATTGAGACAGGAGGAGAGTGATCTGGGGCAGTCCATCTCTACTTAAGACACAACCGGCAAGGCCGTGATTTATTTTTCATATATTCATTTGTCATTTTACATTTTTCCCCTGGTTCCTTACCGCTCTTAGGTAACACCAACTGTATTTTCATAAATTTTCCCTGGTTCCTTGCCGCTCCTAGGTAAGAACCGGCAACCTTTTTCCACGACCAATCTAGGCTGCGCAAGGCATTCCTAAGTTTCGTTCGCTAGTTGAACACGTACGGGGGTGCCTTGACGAAAAATGGGTGGTTTTAGTTGGCAGGCAGGGCAACAGGAAGGCATTCGTTTGCAGGACCTCCTATACATAGGGGGAAATGGACTCGTATGTTTTCCTCTGCCCTGAATCCAACACACGCCGAGCAATGGTATGGTGTTTAGAACGTTCCATCACATAAAAAAAAAAATATTACTGAACAACTAGATCCAAATCAAGAGATAAAATGTAGAATCGAGATAGCCCGCACGACATTTTTAAAAATGAGGTCATTCTTCTGTAATGATAACTTGCAATTTCAACTTCGAAAGCGCATGGTTAAATGCTACATTTGGTCAGTCCTTTTATACGGTGTCGAGGCATAGACATTAAAATCATTAATCGTCTGGAGGCCTTTGAAATGTGGCTGCACAGACGTATACTAAAAATTCCATGGACGGCTATGCTGACAAATGTGGCAGTCCTTGAGAGAGCAAATGCTGCTCGCGAGCTGCTTGATAACATTAAATGTAGAAAGATGGCCTATTTTGGGCACGTAGTAAGGGGAGACCGATATAGTATTCTTCAACATATTATGATGGGTAAAATCGAAGGACGTAGAGGAATTGGTAGAAAGCAGGCCTCTTGATTGAAGAATATCAGGGAGTGGACAGGTATAAAGAAAGCTGAACAACTATTTAGAATAGCTCAAGACAGAGACAGTTTCGCCATGTTAATCGCCAACGTCAAGGGGACTTGATAGGGCACGTTAAGAAGAAGATGCACATACATTAAAATATATTATATCTACTCAGGTCTCTCTTGTCAATCCTGACCTCCAGAGAGAGTGTAGTAGTCATCGTGATGCCGTGTATTTTCCGTTTTCAAAGTTCGTCTCTGATCATTTCTTTTAACTCATGCATAGGTTTTTTGCATATGCCTGCAATTTAATCGATCCATCTTGTTGATCTATCTTGTTGATTCATCTTCACTACGTAAAACACAATTTGGTTTCAGAAACAACCTTGGAACCAGAGAAGCACTTTTCAGTTTGCAGGTCATGTTTCAAAGATGTAGGGATATAAAATAACCAGTATGTATGTGTTTTATCGATTTTAAAATGGCTTTTGACCGAGTAAACGATGACAAACTTGCACTAGGTGGGAATTGATGACCGAGACCTCCGTATTATCAAAAATTTGTATTGGCATCAATGTGCAAACATACGAGATGGACAAAACACGGCAGAAGCAGTGAAAATACGACGTGTAGTGAGGCAAGGATGTATTCTATCGTCTCTACTTTTTAATATCTACTCCGATTTATTTTCAAAGAAGTGTTAGTTGAAGATACAGGCATTAAAAATCAACGGAATCTAAGAAGCGGAAAGCATTCGGACTAAGGATATACAGAAGAATCTTGAAGACATCATGGACTGAGCATGTGACCAACAACAAAGTCATAAAAAGAGTTAACAAAAAAATGGAAATAACGAATACCATTAAAACTCGAAAACTGCATTACTTGGAGAATGTCATGTTTGGTGAGAGATACGACTTACTTCAGTTGATTATTTAAGGAAAAATTCAGTACAGAAGGAGTATTGAAAAAAAAATCTCATTTAAGTCTTAATAAATTAATACTGTTTTACTGGTACCTACTTACACAAACATTACAAACGTTTAAATTCTAATTAAGCATCTAGTGCTTATGATGTTAATATTTATAATATTGACAATTATTAGCTATACACTATTCTTACTGTAAAACATTTTAACAGTGATGTCGGTATCTTTAAAAATGTTCTAAAAAACTGAATATAACGTCTATATACTAGACTTGGTCCACAAAAGCAAAACGAAGATTTTTGAAAAGTGGTGATTTATTTCTCAACGTAGTCTCCTTTAAGCTCGATACACTTGACTCAGCGATGCTGAATCTTCTTTAACCTACCTAAAAAATAGGTTCTCTCGAGGCCTGCAAAGTAGATTTCCATGGCGGCGATGACCTCCTCATTCGACTTAAATTTTTGCCCGGCGAGCGCCTTATTAGGTTTAGAAACAAAAAGAAGTCGCGCATGGCCAAATCTGGAGAATACGGTGGATGGGGTAACAGTTCGTATTCCAATTCGACCAATTTCGCCATAATTGGTGTACTCAGTTTGACTTTCTCCGGGTAGTCAATGTAGATCACCCCTTGTGAATTGCACATAATGCTGGCTATCAGCTTTCCAGCCAATAGGACAGTCTTCTCCTTCTTCGGGGCAGGTTCTTTGGCTGCACCTTGGCCTCTGGTGTGTACCAGTGGATTCATGTTTCGCCGACGGTTACGAAACTACGTAGAAACTTTTTCGAAGTACGCTTAAATAGCGTCAAAAAGTGCGCTTCAGCAATCTGATGGTTGCGTTTGTTATCCGGAGTGAGCAAACCTGGAACTCATCGTACTGACAGCTCTACTATGTCCAACATTTCATGAAGGATACGACATAGGCGGTCTTTTGAAATGCCTAAGATATCAGCTCTTTCGCGCATCTTTAGTCAGCGGTCTCCCAATACGAAATTGTGGATTTTTGTCACGTTTCCCTACAAAGTAGTCATTTTCGGGCCACCGAAGCGTCGCTCATCAATAAAAGACGTGCGACCATGTTAAAACTCATTAAACGAATCCTTAACGGTTGTCATCGAATAAAAAGAATTTCTGTACGCAGCATATACAGCATCCAAGATCTCTTTGATTTTGCCGCGTGATTTCACTTTCAAAAACAAGATTCGAATCAGCGACCGATATTGCTAATTTTTCCATTTTACTAACGCCAGATTTCACCCGCGGTCAAAACAAAAATACGAGTCCAACTTAACTTAATTTTAACATTAGCCATATATGAGCCATATGCTCCTACGGCGAATGCCGACGAAGAAGAAGTAGAATTGTTTCACCGTGATATCGAAGAGGCACTTAGAATAACGAAATAAATACAAATCACGATAGTCCTAGGTGATCTCAATGCAAAGATTGGAAAGGGACGAAGCGGAAAGTATATAGGAAACTATGGTCTGGGAAATCGAAACGAGAGAGGAAACTGTCTGTTACAATTCTGTCAAGAGCAGAACTTCATAATTACAACCACATTTTTCAAGTTACCAAACAGACGACTGTATACATGGCTATCGCCCACAGATACATCGGAGAAAGTAGTCAGGAACCAGATAGACTACATTATGATTAATGAAAGATACTGTAATGCTGTTAAAGCCGTGAAAGCATATCCTGGATAAGACGTGGCCTCAGATCACAATCCACTTATCGCCAAGATTACACTTAAAAATCTTAAAAAACATCAAAGAATTCCTACAATAGACACAAGAAAACTTAAAGAACCCAAAGTAAAAGAATGCCTCCAACATAAACTGCAACAAATTGACCACAAACGACAATGATATTGACGAGTACTGGGATTGACTAAAACATTGTCTACTGGAACCCTGTAAAGAAATATTAAAGACTTCCGCAAGGAGAAAAGAAGAATGAATGAATGACGAGATACTCAATATGATGGAACAACGAAGACAATTTAAAAACAAGGACAACAATAAATAGAGAAAGATAAACCACGATATCAGGATATCAGGAAGATGATAAAGCAGACAAAAGAAAAATACTTTGAAGAGCTATGCAAAGAGGTCGAAGACCTTCAAAACAAATATGATCTGTTTAACCTACACAAGAAAGTTAAAGAACTTGCAGGACTCAGAAAACAAAATCCCACTCGTGCAATTCTGGATAGACACGGGACAACTATAACACATACGGACGAGAAAGTACTAAGATGGGCAGAATATATGGACGAATTGTTCGATGATGAAAGAGGAGATCTGGAGCACATAGAACTTACGTCAGAAGAAATAGGTCCATATATTACATAACCAGAAATATTACACGCATTAAAAATAATGAAGAGTGGGAAAAACCCTGGTCCTGACGTACTTCCAATAGAAATCCTAAAAATTCTAGATGAGAAGCACATTGATGCAAGATTTAGTGACACTCTTGAACCAAATTTATAGTTCAGGGGTATTACCCAAAGAGTGGTTAACAAGGATTTTCATTTGTATCGCTAAAAAGAAAAAGGTAAGAGAATGCAGCGATTATTGCACCATTAGCTTGATGTTTCATATGCTAAAGTTACTACTTAAAGTCATCCATAACCGAATAAATCACAAACTGGACATATACGTTAATGATACACAACTTGGTTTTCGCAAAGGCCTAGGAACGCGTGAACATCTTTTTTTTTTCACTTAATATATTGATATAAAGATGCCTGGACGTCAATCAAGATATATAGGCATGTTTTATTGACTATAATAAAGCATTCGATAAAGTAGGACATAAACAATTAATAAACTTCCTGAAATCAAAGAAGATTGACTCCAACGACTTCAGGATCATATCAAATTTATACTATAAACAGCGAACAAAAGTACGTGTTAACGAATAGCTATCAGAAGAATTTAAAATTAGGTGTGAAGTGAGACAGGGTTCCGTATTGTCGCCAATTGTTTTTAATACCTACTCCCTAGAGATCCTGAATAACGCTCTCGAGGGTGAAACAGCTGGAATAAAGGTAAATGGAGTTCCCATTAACAACATTAGACATGCGGACGACACTGTAATCTTAGCCGAAAACATTAAAGATCTTCAGAGACTGGTGACCAGAATAGCAGAGTATGGAAAAGAAGATGGTCTAATAATGAATGTCAAGAAGACGAAATTTATAAGAATATCGAAAACTCAAAGAAATAATGAGAATCTTTTAATAAGCAAAACTAACATCGAACAAGTAGACAAATATGCATATCCAGGGATTTAAAGCTGGAACTAAGAGTTAGGTTGGCGAGGTGCTATGTTTTTTTGACTTTATTTTACGGAATGGAATCTTGGACCTTGAATGCGACATCAATGAAAAAACTGAAATCATTCGAGCTGTGGGTGTACAGAAGAATAATAAAAATATCGTGGACAGAACACGTCACACACAAAGAAGTTCCTGGAAGAATGAATAAAGGAATGGAAATTTTAAACACAGTGAAAACAAGATAATTAGAATATCTCAGAAATATTTCACGTGGAGAGAAATACACCCTGCTCCAATTGATTATGCAGGGAAAGATAGAAAGAAAAGAGAAGCATAGGGAGGCGTAGAATGTCATGACTGCGCAACCTGAGAGAGTGGTACGGATGTACATCAAATGGACTTTTCAGAGCAGCCGTCTCAAAAGTCCGAATAGCTATGATGATTGCCGACCTCCGCCGCGAAATGGCACTTGAAGAAGAGAAGATATACGAAAATGTATTACACGATAGTAGATTTCTCTTGAGAAATTAGTGCCAACGGGCGGTGAGGCTAAGTACTTATCGGACAACCACGTAGATTTAGTTGGCAAACTATTTGGTTAAAATGTCATTTACAATATTTTGCTACTAGTGGTTTAATTTCCCTCTCATTATTCGCGCCCTAGACCGGATGGAATTACCACGGAAGCCATAAAAATGTTAAAAGATGATAACATCGACATGCTGGTAACAATTTTCAATGCCATATATACCACCGGATACATTCCAACGGATTGGCTTTATTCTACCTTTATAATGATCCCTCAATCACAAAGAGCGACAAAATGCCAAGACCACAGACTGATAAGTGTAATGAGCCATTTGCTTAAGGTGTTTCTTCGCATCCTTCACACAAGAATGTTCAGAAAGCTGGAAGATCTAAGCGGTGAGACACAATTTGGTTTCAAAAGCGGACTGGGTACACGTGAAGCAGCTTTCTACTTAATACTCTTGTACAAAACTGCATGGATCAACGAAAGGATATAGTCGTAACATTTCTCGATTACGAAAAAGCGTTTGACACCGTAAAACATGATGCAATGATAAAAATTCTACACAATGCTAACATTGACGAGAAATATATAAGAGTTATCCAGAATTGGAATCAGAAAGCACGAGTGAGACTGAACAAATCAACTAACACAGAAGAAAATGAAGAAAGGCAGCAAATATTTGATTTCACGCAAACAAATCCTATGTATCTCTTGATACGTATTTCGACCTAATAGGTCTCGTCAGAAGAGCTATTCATATGGGTCCTCAACGTGAAAAATCAATATTTTCTGCCTTTTAAGAAGCAACAATAACATGGCTTCAATACGGACACACTAGCGACATTTAATTACAACAATCGTAAAATAGTTTCGATACACAATTCAGATTTCTGCTTTATAATCTGAGCCTTCTAAAAATTGCAAGGCAAATAGACGTTGATAAAAGATGTTAAAAGAGACATGGGGAACCTAAAATTTGCATTCCACGACATGTCTTTTACAACTAAGCAGAAATCCTTAGCGAATTATGCTTCTAGTACTCACACAGAGTAAATCCGAATAAAATGAAGAAAGGCAGCAAATATTTGATTTTACGGAAACAAATTCTATGTATCTCTTGATACGTATTTCGACCTAATAGGTCTCGTCAGAAGAGCTATTCATAGGAGTCCTCAACGTGAAAAATCAATATTTTCTGCCTTTTAAGAAGCAACAATAACATGGCTTCAATACGGACGCACTAGCGACATCTAATTACAACAATCGTAAAATAGTTTCGAAACACAATTCAGATTTCTGCTTTATAATCTGAGCCTTCTAAAAATTGCAAGGCAAACAGACGTTGATATAAGATGTTAAAAGAGACATGGGGAATCTAAAATTTGCATGTTTCCGATAAATACCATTCGTTACGCTGACGAAACCGCGATAATAACAGACAACGAACATGATATGCAGTTGATTTTAAATGAAATAAACACCGTAGAAAAAATATATGGCTTGAAGATAAATGCTGGAAAAACTAAATGCAAGGCAATAAGAAAAAACGCACTTTTAAGAATACAACTGCAAGTAAATAATGCTGCAATCGATCAAGTGAAAACATTTGAATACTTGAGAATGATGATAAATGACCAATGAGATCCTCAACAAGAAATGAAATGCCGTACCGAACAAGCAAGACAAGCTTTTATCAAATTTAAACCGCTACTATGTAACGTTGTTTAATCTTCGCGCTACAGGATGGTTAAATGCTACGTATGGTCCATATTGTTATATGGCATGGAAACATGGACGCTAAGACTACCTTCCATTATTAAGTAGGAGGCCTTCGAAATGTGGACGTTGCAAAGAATGTTTCGCATACCATGGACAGACAGGGTGAGAAACGAGGAATCCTTAAGAAAGGTAAATACTGAGAGAACTACTCAATTTGATCAAGTTACGAAAAATTGGATACCTCGACCATACTCTGAGTGGAAATAATACGCAATCCCTCAACTAATCATCCATGGAATGATTGAAGGCAAGAAAGGAGTAGGTCGCAAACAAATGTCGTGGCTACGAAACATAAAGAATTGGACAGGCATCAGTAACAATGGCGATCTTTTGCCTGCCGCAAAAAACAGACGTCTGGCCTTAAGATAAATCGCCAACGCACTTATAGGTGCACGGCACTATAAGAAGAAGGTTTACTTTTACGTCTATACATAATTATTTTGTAATCATTATATTATTATTATTATTATTATATTTTGTTGTAATTCCATCGCCTACCAATTAAAATTATGATTTTTTTAGGCGGCTCTATAAGACTGTGCTGTGCTGTCAACTTTTCCATTCATGAAATAAACTATCACTTTGTACTCGTACGTGTTGAATAAACTGCATTCAAGTAATTAAGTTATTTAATAGTACATATTGTGCCTTTCATACTAAATTTTTATGTATTACCCTTCACTGATATAAAAACAAGTATAATCGAAAAGCACGTAATGACGTGATGTAAATTTTCAGACTTCAGAATTAAATTACTTGTGCTTAACTCACCACGTGTAATTAATTTAACTTTAAACATGATTTTTATTCCATGTTTTAATCTTCCTCTTTTGAAAATCCCATGTTTTTGAAAGATCTCACTAAATTAAAAATTCTAATCAAATGTTCAACATTTATGGAAGGTTTTAATGGACTACTCAGAATCAGACTCTTATTTTTGTGATTTAGTACATTTTTTTGATTTCTTATAATTTGAAATCGAGCAGGTTTTAAATTTATTTCCAATATTTTTTTGTATTGGAATTTTTGCCTTTGCCGTTTGTAAAACATCGAAAGTGACTTACTTTGGAACACTCTTTTAAAATGAAAAAAAGTTGATACTCGGTGTCTAAATGAAAAAGGGTCTGAAAATTGATACAGTTTAATGATATTTGATAAAAGAAATTAATACATTAGTAAATAAGCCTGGAATCAAAGATTTCAATTCTATATTAAATAAATATGAAAATTAGTATGAATATAATCCTATCGAAGCAGGATTTGATAAAATATATTGTCTACTTTTATTAGTGAGATCAATACTAACTGACTTCGCTTCATTCGCTTCATTCAGCTTGATCATCCACGATTGAATTTAATTTTTTATCTGATCTAAGAAGTTCTCTAATTATGTACTGCTTCTTCATTATATTTTAGTCTTCAAAATAGTAAATGGCTTATCACCCGAATATTTCAAAGAACTCATTTCTATTAACAAAATATTTAGTTTTATAATCCAAAATTAATACAAAATAATAGCTACGACCAAACTTAGGATTATATATGTTATTTATCGATTTTAAACAAGCATATGACTCCCTAAATCGAACGATGCTATATGAGGCCATGAGAACATTACAAATACCAGAAAAACTTATAGGGCTAGTGAGAATGACGCTTAGGAATACGATGAATAGGATAATAATGGAAGGCAGCTTTTCAAGACAATTCACAGTGAATGGAGAACAGTACTAGTATTAAAACAAATCATAAGAAGATCAAATATGAGCACAAACAGGACTATTTTCAATGGCAGGAAATAGTGAATAGCATACGTGGATCATGCTGTAATACTACTGAGAACAAAAAAACATTTAAAAAAGTCTTTCAGAAATTAGAAGAAGAAACCAAAAGATACGGATTAATAATAAACCAAACAAAAACGCAATATATGGTAATGAGAGGAGACATAACAAATAATAACAAATATATCAAAATGAAAGGAGCAGAGACTGTCTCTAGTTTTGAAAACATGTCAGAATTTGAATACTTAGGAGTAACCATAATAAACACGGGAAAAGAAGAAAAAGAGATAGACAAAAGACAAATGAAGAAAAGCAGAAAGACATAGTCACTAAATTCATTACTGAAAGCAAAAAATGTGTCAAGAACAGCTAAACTGCGAGAATACGAGATAGTAATCAGACCCACAATGATATATGCCAGTGAAACGTGGATTATAATTCAGTAGAAAGAAAAGAAAGTAGAGATCTGAAAAAAAGGTGCTCAGAAAAACCTTTGGAGGAATAAAGACAGCAGAGAATATTTGAAGAAGACGAACGAATAAAGAAATAATAAAGATGTATGGAAAACCAGCAATTACGGCAAAAATACGATCCCAAAGAGCTAGATGGCTTGGTGACATTATACGCATGGCAGAAAATCGAAATGTTCAAACAATACTAAAGAGTAGGGAAATGGGGAAAAAAGAAGAGGACGTCCAAAGAAAAAATGGCTGAAAGCGGTAAAGCAAGACTTGTCAGAAATAGGCGTGAGAAATTGAAGGAAGAAAGCAAGGGACCGAAAAACATAGCAAGAAATAGCTAAGTTAGTAGAAGCTAGGGACCTACAAGGCCTGTAGCGCTGTTATATATATATATATATATATATATATATATATATATATATATATATATATTTAACTATATTTCTTTTGAACCCTTAATTGGATTTCTATAATTTATTTTTCACATCATAGGTATATTTCTAATTAATAAGGT